ATAGAATATTTGATCCAAAATTATTTCACTTGATGAATATTTATTTGAGATTCTAGATACTATTCTACTCGACTTTGTAATTCGATGGATCATGAAAAAATAAGTAGGAATATATAAAATGTCAACATCGCATGAATTGAAAAGCATTATGAAACAAGAATAAGAAAGTTTTCACTAGGATGTGATCGACAATGTTTTAGATCATTGAAGAAAATATTGTCAATTTATTCATCGTACTTATGAGTCACATATTGAATATTTATTCTATTAAAAGTGTAACAAGCTTTATGTTTAAATTTGAAAATACATAGTATGATCTGGATGATTTATTTCAACAGAATTTTTTTTAGCAGAACGAGACTACAACAATCAAATTGAATGTCATAGAATGCAACGAAAAACAAGATATATTAGTGCCTTACATATGACCAAATAAGATATTGACCTTTGAAAAAATTTGAGTAGAACTACTGACGAGTGTTGCTTTTCTTTAGTATAGGTTGTTTATTTTGGTATTAGATCCATTATTTTTTGACATTCGTTTGTGTGTGTCATTGGCCTTTATTATTTTCCGTCAATCTTTTTATTATATACAAACTAGTACAGATCAATGACGTATTGACAATACTCTATATTGGAATAAAGTTAAATTACGTGTTTGTAATAGTTATAGATAAAAAAAAAAAAAAGAACATACAATCAAAATGATTAATCATAATCAAACTATATATAGATCGTGTTGGTCAGGAATATTAAAGATAACAATGAGTTATGTGATTTAGAAAAATGATCCATATAAGATTGAATAATAATGAGAAAACTAATGATTCATCCAAAAATTATCTCTGTTCGTCATTTGTATTATCTTTTCTTATATGTCATTTGATTCTTTCTTGATTATATAAAACTCACATGCGAAACGTCAGGACCAAATTCAATTTTAACAACGTCATCAACTTATTTATTAATAAGAATCTTGTTATTTTTCTACAAATAGAAATGTACTTGATAGTTTACTATCAAAATACTAATCTTGAGAAAAAATACATTTTATAATGGAAATAAAGAAAAAAAAAACAGTAGACAAGTTAATTACCATAATTTAGCGTTTGTGTGTATTCTTCTGTATGTTCTTCCAATATAATGAGTACAGTGGAATGAATAATTACAAGGAAACATATGGAATCAAACATCAGTAATGAAATGTCTGTAGACATGAATGTAACAATAGAAATAAATTTAGTAGTAGAAAATAAGAGCCCAATTCATAAATTTAGAATCATTATGAATAAAAGAAGTGTGTTTTTTTTTTATCTTATATCTTCTCAAGAATTTCTTTTGAAGAAAAATTCTTATTCCGACTACTTGCACTAGAATAGGACAGAAAAATTTTTCTCGACAAAACTAGAAATAAAAAAAAAAAAAAAACATGTTGATAAAATGAAAAGACACTTAATGTCATCATCTTACTAATAGCCTCATTTCCTATTTTATTTCATCTTATATAATTGTGTTTTTCTCTGTTGTAAACTTGTGTTCTTTTTTTTTTGTAGGGTAGTTACATTTATTGATAAGTAGCTCATAAGACATTAATTATTCAGAATAAGCATAAGTTTATTCTTCTTGTTCGACATTACAGTATATGTTTGATGAGCTCAAGCAGTCGAGAGGTAAACTGGATTTTTTTTGTCAAAATGATCTTCAATGGGTTCTTTTCTGCTCGACTGAAACTGATTTGAAAAAAAAACTAGATTCTTTTCTACATTGACATGTTGTTTATTATATTTTTTTAATGCTACTTCTTGATAATAAGATATCTATTTTTATGTTTAATTTATTTATAAGGTATTATCATCATTAGAAAAAAGTCACTCAGTCTATTTTATTATGTAAAACTTTTTTAAAAAGTCACAAACCGTTCATGACATGATAATTAAATACCTTTCTGTATTCAATACATCATTAAAATAGGTTTCTGTTTCATTATCGTAACTATGTTTTTTTCTATTATACACTTCATCAGATATATCCCACTGGCCAAAAATTAATAGCATGCCTTGCATATCTTATTATTTGTCTAGCAATATTGTTAAATTTCATTTTTTATACTACATATACATCTTTGGTTATTTCACTAATTATAAAAGTTTTTCTTCTATTCAACGAGAATCCTTTGAAATAAATATAACTATGTTTTCATATACTCATTTTGCAGTAAAAAAAAAAAACTTTTTGTTTATGTCGTCTTTCAATAATATCAACCTTATATGAGTAAATTAGATATTCTAGATTGAAATTGCACTATGACAAGCTATCTGAATAAATTATTTCACTATATGCGTTAGAAAATGATCTATAGAAGTGAACCAAGGATTGATAGTATTAAAGAAAAATAGTTTCAGTGTAAAAATTACAAAAGTTCGATTTCATTACTATAATGAAAATATATTTGCATTCTTCTCAATGAATTTTCCTTGTCCAAATCAATAATGTTCAGCATATGCAACTGTGAAATCAATATGAGATCTAAGAACAAGTGTACAACAAAGAAATAATCAAAACAAAAAAAACCAACCGTTGTGTCATTTATTTTTGCGAGAAAAATCGAACAGTTGTCGAATACTTTTCAATAGAAAAATCGAACAGTTGTCGAATATTTTTCAATAGAAAAAAAAAAAAGACTCTATAAATTTAATCTTTAAAATAGAAAGACGCAAATCATTCTTTCTCTAAGAATAAAAAAAGGATCATATTTCATGGTCTATTATTAAGAATAATCCTAAACTATAATCGATTTTGTCTTGTTCAACTTTTAATTTTATTATCATCAATCTTTGATGGTATGCACACCAGATTGTCAAAGCTAATACTAATTCATACTGAAATATTTACCGAGTACGTTAAAAATAAATTTAATAAAGCAAAGTGCACATCATAATAATCAAATATAATTCCAAACTATGTTCTGATATCTAACTTCACAGATGACCACTTCAATTACTGTTTGGCTTTATAGAAAGAAAAAAAAACAAACAAATCATAAGAAGTCTTCTTTTGACTGTTTGTTTATGGAAGTAACTTATAAACTATTCTCTTACTTATATCCAAACATCTGACTTTTTTTTTCGTCTACGTAATTAAATAAGCATTATGGTAGAATAGCTAGTTCTTTAGATTATAACAAAAATGAAAAGAAAAAAAAAAAATGTTTGCTTGTTTTTTATGTTTGTTTTATAATAAAAGATTTTTTTCTAGTACATAGATTTTGTTCCAATGTTATGGAGAATTATTTTTTGTCGATAATTCAATTATCTCAATATCATTTATTGAATTGTAAAGAATAGAAACAGAACGAAAATAACTATCATCATCATCATCATTTGAGATGCTTCTTCTTGTTCTCATTCTACAATTGTTAGTGAGATAAAAGAGAAGATTATAGAAAAGAACAAACGAGGAACGATATAAAAACTGAGGAAAAAATGTAGAATTTCATATTATTTCTCTAAAAAAAAAAAAGAGCATTTCATCAGTCACATCGTATTACAAAAAAATTAAATAATCTCCTATATAATGAACATGAATAGAATTTATAATAAATTCTCATTAATTTTATGCTTCACGTAAGCTACTTCTCATTCTAGTATGTGTGTTTTATTTTGTTATGAGAATTCTCTCTCATATGTTACAATAGTTTTTATCTAACACCCTTATTTGAGTTTATATATATATATATATTAAATAATATTCGTAAATAAGCAGATAAATAGGTGAGGATATAGCATGCAACCCATATTCATCAATCATTTTTTCTTCATATGTTGTCAAAAACATGCTGGATACAATAAATTGAATAACAACAACAGTTGATTCAACTTAGTATCATTATTGTTTTTTGTTTATATTACTAAAAATGAAAGATCATGAATAACTTTAGTTCTATTATTCTTTATCAAGTTAGAATCATATTATAGGCTAGAAAAGTATTGACATACCACAAATACAGATGACTATTAAATACAAAAAGTAAGTATATTAAAACAAAAAAAAAAAAGCATCTTTCATTTAATGAATGCAGATGCGTCAAAAGGCTTCATTTCAGGTACACTCATACATAGATATATATCTACATGTAGTCAACATGGTAGTTGTTTTCTTTTATATAGAAGATACAAGACCGAGATGGTTGACATTGATTCGTGCTTGCTTTCTATTTATTTTGCTTTCAAAGTTGACACATTATCGCAACTTGCTTGAAGCAATTATCATGTTTATGAATCAGAGAAAAGCAATCTACACCCCGGAAATACCAATCATATCGCTATGTTGGTCTGCTATTCTGACACTACTTTTGCTTATAAACTATAGACAAGAAAAAGAAAGAAAAAGATGTTTTTTCCTATCTTATATTTCCGACATGACTATTCCACATTAACTTCGCTAAAGTGAGTTTAAACTATTGATTTTATTCATTGATCTGTTAAACTATGGGTCAATAAAACTTCATGTTTGGTTATATATACCAATTCTAGTTTATTTTTATTATAGGTGAGTTCTATAGATTACTTAGTATAGAGAATTTTTTTAAAACATTATTATTTTCTTCAAAAATTTTTCATTTAATATTTGATAATATATATATATATATATATATATATTCTAAAAAGTACTTGGTTTTGTCGCTTTATATACGTCAAATTAGCTTTTCATTACTTTCAATCAGTCAGCATTTATATATCTCTTGCACATTTATCATTCATTCAACACTCATATGCGCAAGGAGAGAAAGAAAAAGGAAAAAGAAAAAAGAAAAGAAAAGAAAAGGAAACGAAAACAAAAATCCATACACACTTTCCTACTAGCATTAGTTCTCTTCGTAATTATTTTAGTTCTTAATATACGATGAAAATCTCTTGAGAAGTCAAACACCAAATAAAAACACAAATATCTAATTAATAAACAATCAACAATGAATTTTCTTTTTAGATCAATAGAATACAATGATTGTAACCAGAGAAAGTATTAATCCATGTATATTGTGTAATGTTCTTGCTCCAATATTTATATGTGGATTTTTTAGTAATATTATATGTATAATAGTTTTTCTTCGTCAACGTTTTCGTACACGTTCAATAAGTGTTTATTTTATTGCATTATTTTTTAATGATTGTATACTTTTATTTATATCACATGTTGCTAAAATGTTAATGTTTGATGCATCAAAATCTTGTTGGTTTAATATTTATTTATCAAAATTTATTGATATTATACGTTATGGTGATTTAATTGACCATGGAAGTTTATCGGTACTTACTTATAATACAACATATACACAAATATCAATGCTTATTTTCATGTTTATGTCTATACAACGTGTACGAACATTTTCTTCAATATCTTATCGTGAAAGTCGTATGTGTGCATTTTTATTAACATTAATTGCATTTATATATGGAATTACGGTTTCTTTTATGCAACTTTATGATGGATTTTGTATAAAAGAATTAAATTTAGATCAAAATCAAACTTTACAAATTGATTACTTGATAGATGATACAAAAAATGTGATTGATGAACAATGTTCAATAACATTCATTAATAATACAGGTAATATAAAACATATATATGGAATAGAAAAAAAAAAAAAGAAATCGAAGCATATCTAAATATAGGTTATCCTTGAGATTTCATACAAGAAAAATTCTTTAGATATTTTTGTCTTCATCTGTGATATGATTTTGTTATCTTCTCGCATCACAGATTATGATAGACATATCCAAAGGCTTTGCTTATTTCTTTTTTTTTTCTATCTAAACAACTTGATAAACAATCTGTAAGACGGAATAGAATAATTGGAAGTTATGAAATATATTTTTTAGTACTCAATTTAACAGCACCAACATTTCCTTTTAATATTATTTCTCATCAACGCTATTTAACATATTCTATAGCAAATGAATCGTTGAATAGTAGTACTGATTCGATATGTCATTCAGACAAAGATTGGCATCGTATACGTCATCAGACGGTTGCATATGTTTATCTTCAATCTTACATGTCAATTGATTGGCCAGACGAATATGCTAATCGTTCCGAATGTGATGTAGAAGAGATTCTACCGAAATATCTTCTTTTAGCTATAGATAATATAACACGACCATTATTACAATCACGTCCTAGTAAAGACTATTTCCTCGAACATCAATTTTGTGCTCAAAAAACACATTTTATTGATTCATACGCTAATTGTTCATTTCCTTTATCATCTAAAACTTTTAAAAATTTGTATCAATTTTTATATGATCGTCGTTTATCATTAAAAAATCGTTATACAATTGGTTTTATAATTGGTACATTTATACCATCATCAATATGTATAATATCATCATTTATGTGTCTTTATTATATATCAAATCAACCATTAATACGTAAACATAGTCATTCACGTGCTGAACTTCGTTCATTATCACTTATATTGGTTGAAATTTTATTAAGTTTAATGAGTGCTTTACAATCTTATATGATTAATTTTTTTACATGTCATCGTTTACTTTTTCGTATGAAATCAGATAATTGTTATGGAGAATCAAGTACTAATATTTTACCAATATTTCTTGGTAGTATACTTGAATTATTTACATCAACATCAAATATTCTTGTACTTATGATTTGTGGAGCACAATTTCGTGATGAACTTATTGAAATTCTTCATATTAAAAAATTATTTCCAAAAAGAAAACAACAACAATTTAATGATGAACAAAATAATAATCGTAAAAAATCCAGTATAGCAGTACCTCTTCGTATTATATTAACATCAGCACCATCAAATAATGAAATAAATAAAAAACCTAATATTAATCATGATCCATCGATGGATTCACTCATAGTACCAGGTCAAAATAAAGATGATATTAGTATGATAGATAATGAACAACAATCAGATGAAACAACTCAATATCTAATTAAATTGACTACTGTTTAAATATATTTGAAATATTTTTTTTTTCTTTTTTCTTTTCTATTAATATTGTTTCCTTTTATTGAATAAAAGGTCTTGCATGTTGTCATGCAGGAAAACGAAATTAAATATAAAAATTTACAGGATATTAGAAAATAATTAAAAGTTTAGCAAGTATTTTATCTTCATGTGTGGCTATAACGACGTATGAATAGTTTCGGATAAGATATATTGTTTTTATGTTTTTAAACAACTATTGGCTTATAGTAATAAGATTAGAACAGAAAAAAAATCCGTCATCGAATTATCTTTATCGTGCTTTTCTGATAGATACACTTCATATATGCCAAGATAGAATTGAAATGGTTACGATGCCATTTATGCGGTCATAAACACCAGTTCTACTTGAAAAAATAATCATCAATTTTCTTGTCGTTTCAAAATATGATTTACATTAAATAATCGTTAGAATGCTTATCTAAGTCAATATCGTCTAGATAAGATGTAGTGATGAATTTTCTAATTTTGGCTATTTAAGAATACGCGTGATAGAATTTTAGATCGTTGAAAATTTCTAGATATCTTTATTATTTGATACATTATGTAAAAATTTATAATACAAACACTATAGATTAATTTACATAACAGAACACGATGATTCTTTCAGCAAAGTACAAATTCACAGATTATTTACATTGTATTTATTAAGATTACGTGCTAATGTGTGAAAATTAGGCTATTAAAACACATATAGGATAGGTTTGTTGATTTCCATTTCTAATTTAATTAATTACGTTCGAAGCTCAAATTTTATGATAAACTATATGTTTTCTAACATTTTCAAACGTGACATTGCTGTTTCCAAAGACTTTTATATAAGAAATTGGTTGATTTATGTATTCACGAGTAAAGAGAGTGGTAACTAAAAAAACATGTAGAAATCAGGGATGTGGCGACCACGGGGTGCAGGGGGGTGCGGACCCCCCCACTTTTTGAAAATTTTCAATTTTTCGCAGCAAAAATAGTCAATTTTTCTTCAAAAAAAGGTCATCAAATTCAAAAAGATAGGTTTGCACCCCCCCCCACTTTTGAAAAATCTATCCAGAAATCTTTGTCAGTTTCCAAAAATTTTCAATGCACCCCCCACTTTTTTTTCTTCGCCACATCCCTGGTAGAAATATATTAAAGAATGTGAGTTACCACTATTTCACCATGAAGTAAGGTATGTATTAGTCGAACGAGGCAATACAAGATTAACTGCAATAGAAGATTAGATTAAACTTATTAAAAGAGAATCAGGAAAGAGAAATTTCTTCTTTGATTTTTCGTTTGCTATGAAAGTGTTTTGGTTCTGAAACGAGCCATTAGGATTTCAAAGACTTGTCAATGAACAGCTATCGATTATGAAGAACCTTTAATATTAGTATTCAACTATAATTTCATTTCGTCTCTTTACTGGAGATGAAATTAAATGATTTATTGTCTTGCAAGAAAATGAAAAGAGAAAGACCCGTTTCTGAGATCGGATATTCAATGTTTACTACATTGGTTCTTCTTATAAAAAAAAACATAAAGGGAAATCCTTCTAGATCACAATGATAAATAATTTTTTTTATCAATAATGAATGATGATCTGGTCTTTTGCTTGCAAAATTTTGTTAACGAACAAAAAATTGAACGCATAAATTGCAAAATACACTAATTCATTTGATGTCACCTATGATAAAATTCAGAGAGAACTCAAAAATATTTTTTTCCACCAATTCAACCTATGAATCAGCACCATGTCCTACCGAAAAATAGTCATCATATAAACAGATTTCTGACATTATTAGTAAATATAAACATCGAATACAGTTTTAAACAAAGATATGAATGGTTATTAGCAAATTTTCCATCTGTTTTGTGTGAACCAATAGTGACTAAAAATGATCCTATATCAACGTTGAAAAATACTGGTAAAAATCCCAAGTGAAAATTCATAAAACTAATAAATGGTATTGTGATGAAGTTCGACTTCGAGAGAAACAAGTCGACTATGTGCAACAACGAAGCCAAGATGACAGTTCAAAGATAATATTGATATTTTTGTCTCGAACCATTCACAATGGTTATTTGTTCGATCGGATGAATGGAACTACACGAAAACATTCCGAACAGACATCGTTTATGATGAGTTTTTGAAGTTGACTAATAGTTATGACTTAAAGGAGCGTATGAGAAGTGAAAAGATACGATATGAATATGAGCGGAGACATTTCTCTGATCAGGCACATCCTCGTCGTGATATTCGTCAGTTGATAGCCACATTGAATAACCTTGCTGTTGGTAGTTGTCAAGAATCTTAGAGGGAAAGTAGTCAAACGTCGACAAAAAAATGTCGACAAAAAAATGTCGAAAATCAAATGTCGACCAAAAAAAAATGTCGACAATGGAAAACGTCGACACACTAGATATCGACAATGGAAAACGTCGACATCATGAGGGTGTGGAGTGGGTGTGGGTGGTGTGAGTGTGGATGTGTGGGTATGGGTGTGGGTGGGTGTGGATGTGGGTGTTGGTGTGGGTGTGAGTGTGAGTGTGAGTGTGGGTGTGGGGTGTGGGTGTGGGGTATGGGTTTAGGAGTGATTAAACAGAATGAACACACTCACACCCACACTCTACACCCACCCACACCCCACCGGCACCCACACCCCACCGGCACCCACACACCCACATCACCCACACCCACACACCCACACCCTTAAACTAAGATCACCATCACTCAGATTAAGAGAAGCCATTTCCTTGTCGTAAATCTTTCCAATCGCCGTTGTTTCTTTCACAACTCGCTCTTTCACCTTCTCTTTAAACATTGCAACTTCGACTTGTTCAGGCACTGGTAAATGAAAATTATGATCACCGGATTTTCCAACATAGTGATTGTTGTGATTTGTATGAATATAAGCTGAACAAGTTCGATCTTTGCATCGTCAGTACTTCAACTTTGGTCGCGTACGGTTTAATTGAAAAATGAATCCCTCACATATTAAGATCGGTTTACGTTTATTGCTGGTCGAAAAGCTAAGACTAGGAACAGTTGACATATCAAGAAAAATATGCTACTAGAACGAAATGAAAAAGATAGAATGTGTTGAATACACTACCATGATGTTAAGTGCACAAATGACAAGTGTTTATATATGAGAGAAGGGCGAGAATTACCTCGAACGAAAAAGAAACAAGGGAAATCATCTAGAATGTTCTCGTCTATACTGTACAAAGAGATTACTAAAGAACGAGAAGAAAAGAATATTTCTTTAAGGACATTTTTCTAAGGACATTTCACTATAAATTCGAAAAAATTCGTGTTTAGTTATGTCGAGGCCAACACGCATAGAGAAAATGCACAAACAGAAAAAAAATAGATGACAGCATATGCTACGCGATTTTCCGATATCATGATAAAATTTTCGACATTTTTTTATACATCGGCATTTTACTTGTCGACATTTTGTCTATCGACATTTTTTTGTCGACGTTTTGTTGTCGATATTTTGTTTTCGACATTTGTCTACCTCACCACCTTAGAATGTGTTTCAAAAACGTTTTATTGAAGAAAAAAGAATCCTAATCAACCTTCGATGGCGCCGCTCATTCTTGGCCGCATTTTTCTTTGCTATCTCCTTGCGTCGTACTGCTACTCATGTCGCTGATCATGTGCATTATCTTCGTTTACTTTGTTTGAGCATTGGAGTATAATGATCTCGTAATTGTTCCAGCTAAACCATTGCCTATCAATATGACTCTCGAGCACGATAAAGCGGCGTTTTGTAAATAATTCAACATTCCTCAAGAGCATTTTATTATCGATTGCATTGAGAAGAGTAGTATCATTGTTTATGGGATCATTCGTTCACCCTATGGAAATCTTGTAATGAGATATTTTTCAATAGATGATGCTGAACTTAGAATCTAAGTGAACGCGGTAAAGTGACAAAGATTACTCTTGGTCGTTTCGGTCTCAGTATAGATGATCAGCTACTATTCGCGAAATGGAATCGAGTTTATGGCAAAGCAAAATAAGCCACCTACATTTAAAAAGAAATGGTACGATACCGAACCAAAAAAGGTACTTTGAACGAAGAAAAGGTTTCGTACATAGTACGGAACCTAAAATAGTTCAGAGAATTGCAACGAATTCGAAACCTTTTTTTCGTTCAAAGTACCTTTTTTGGTTCGGTATCGTACCATTTTTTTTCAGTGTGAGGGTGTGGGTGGTCCAGACCTACACCCTTTTAGTTAGTTTATTTAATCGTTTTAATCAAAGAAAAGTGTTAGTGAGAGCTAAGCAAATATCTATCCCAAGTTACAGATATGAAGGCGAAGAGTTGTAAGAGCAAGCATCAACTTTAAATGTAAACGTATGATTTCTATTTCATCCCTTTAATTTTTCGTTCTTGATGAACACATTACTTCTCAGTGTATCTATGAAGTTGTTTTTTGCTTATTATAGAAACTGGTGTTACTAGCTTGGTTTTCTAATTCACGTATAAATTTGTAAGAATCCATCGTTTATTCCACATCTGTTTTTTGTTTAATTTTTGAGTCTGTGAGACGTCTCTAGTGAAATAAAAGTCTTTCTTTATTAAAATGGTGGGTTCATTCGTTAAATGAAAAGCCTTCATTCATACAAAAACACAAGAGAAAACGAAATAATGTATATATTCCAAATGAACAACAAAAAAAGCATCAAGGAACACATTTTAGATAATCAAAATAGAAGAAAAAAAAATGAACAGATTCATAATCAGATACAAAATAAAATCTGTATTCAGGGCGTGCGTGTGGGTGTAAGTGAGGATGTGGTGTGGGTGTGAGTGTCCCTAGAGAATATACTGAGTTAAGGGTACCCAAAAAAGTACCCTGATACCAGTATATCACAGGAACTTTTGGGTACCAAAGTACTTGCAGGTACTTACAGGTACCTAAGTGGTACTTTGGCAAGTACCCTGCTGGAAAATGCACAGTAATTGGGTACCTAA